CCTGGGCTTTTGTTTGCTGGAAGTTTTTTGATGACTGTTTCAATTTCTTCCCAAGTCACTGGTCTATTTAGATTTTTAGATTCTTCCTGATTGAGTTTTGGAAGGTTGTATTTTTCTAGGAATATGTCCATTTCCTCCAGGTTGTTCAGTTTATTGGAATAGAGCTGTTCGTAGTATTTTGTAACAATTCTTTGTATTTCGGTGGGATCTGTTGTTATTTCACCTCTTTCATTTCTGATTTTGTTTATTTGGGTCCTCTCTCTTTGTTTCTTGGTTAGCCTGGCTAGGGGTCCATCTATCTTGTTTATTCTTTCAAAGAACCAGCTCTTGGTTTTGTTGATCTTATGTATTGTTTCTTTGGTCTCTATGTCATTTATCTGTGCTCTGATTTTTGTTATTTCCTTCCTTCTGCTTACACTGGGCTTTTCTTGTTGTTCTTTTTCTAACTCTTTGAGTTGTAGAGTTAGCTCATTTGTTACCCTTTTTTCTAGTTTTTTGCAATAGGCTTGTAGGGATATGAACTTCCCTCTCAAAACTGCTTTTGCTGTGTCCCATAGATTTTGGATAGTTGTGTTTTCATTGTCATTTGTTTCCAGGATGTTTTTAATTTCTTCCTTGATTTCTCTGGTAACCCAGTCCTTGTTTAATAGCATGCTGTTTAGTCTCCATGTGTTTGATTTCTTTGGATTTTTTTCGTTGTAGTTAATTTCCAGTTTTATGCCACTATGATCTGAGAAGATGCTTGATATGATTTCTATCTTCTTGAATTTGAAGAGACTTTGCCTATGTCCCAAAATGTGGTCTATCTTTGAGAATGTCCCATGTGCGCTTGAGAAGAATGTATATTCTGTGGCTTTGGGGTGGAATGTTCTGAAGATGTCGATTAATTCCATCTGGTCTAGCGAGTCATTTAGGATTGATATTTCTTTGCTGATTTTTTGTTTAGATGACTTGTCAAAGGGTGACAGTGGGGTATTAAGATCTCCTACTATGATTGTATTGCTATTAATCTCTCCCTTAATGTCCTCCAGCAGTTTTTTTATATATTGGGGTGCTCCCGTATTAGGTGCATATATATTTACCAGGGTTATTTCTTCTTGTTGGATTGCTCCCTTTAGTATTATAAAGTGGCCTTCATTATCTCTTGTTATGTCCTTCACTCTGAGATCTAATTTGTCAGATATAAGTATTGCTACCCCAGCTTTTTTTCCATTTCCATTCGCCTGGAAAACCTTTTTCCATCCCTTCACCCTCAGTCTGTGTGCATCTTTTTTTCTGAGGTGAGTTTCTTGTAGACAACAGATATATGGGTCTTGTTTTCTTATCCAATCTGTTACCCTATGTCTTTTGATTGGAGCATTTAGTCCATTTACATTTAAAGTTATAATTGATAGATACTTATTTGACGCCATTTTTATTCTATACCCCTGTGTTCCTTCTTTGCTTTCTATTTCTTTAACTTTACAGTAGACCCGTTAGCATTTCTTGCATTGCTGGTTTGGTGGAGATAAATTCCCGTAGTCTGTTTTTGTCTGTGAAGCTCCTGATTTCCCCTTCAATTTTGATTGATAGCCTTGCTGGGTACAGTATTCTTGGATTCAGACCCTTCCTTTGCATGACCTTGTATATTTCATCCCATTCCCTTCTGGCCTGATAAGTTTCTGTGGAGAAATCAGTTGCTAGTCTGATGGGGGTTCCTTTATATGTAACTTTCTGTCTCTCTCTGGCTGCTTTTAAAATTCTTTTTTTGTCGTAGGTGTTTGCCAGCTTAATTATAATGTGTCTAGGGGTTGATTTTCTGGGGTTCATTTTGCTTGGGACTCTGCGAGCATCTTGGATTTGTGTGGGTTTTTTCTTCTCTATCTCAGGAAAGTTTTCTGTCATTATTTCTTGAAATACGTTTTCCATGTCTTCCTCAATTCCCTGTCCTTCTGGAACCCCTATTACTCTAATATTGTTTTGTTTTGTATTGTCCCAGAGTTCCCTTAGACTTTCCTCCTGTTTTTTAATTTTTTTTTCCAGAAGCTGTTCTATTTGGGTATGTTTTTCCATCTTGTCTTCTAGCTCGCTGATGCGATCCTCTGCTTCTTCTAATCTACTCTTGATGCTTTCTATTGAGTTCTTTACAGTAGCTATGTCATTTTTCATTTCTTCTTGGTTCTTCTTCATTTCCTCTTGGTTCTTCTTCATTTCCTCTTGGTTCTTACTCATATTGTCAAATTTGTCTTCCATTCTTTTTAGCCATCTTATGATCATTACTCTGAATTCTTGCTCTGGTAGGTTGCTTCCCTCTATCTCGTTTACTTCCTTTTCTGGTGAGGCCTGCTTTTCTTTCATATGCGGGCTATGTTTTGGTCTCCCCATGATCTAGGATGTCTGGTTGTGTAGTTCTCTCTCTCCTGCTTTGATTTAAAGGCACCGAATACAACACAACCAGGTACAACACACAGGGGACTGAATCGGGATGTGTTTGAAATATTAATAACCACAAATAAGGGTGACTAGAACCCAGCTAGCAAAAACATACAATCAAACAAAAAGCATATCAAATCAATCTTATAAACAAAAGCATACAACTTCAGTATAGTTAACATTCAACATACAACTTCAAAGTGTTAGAGAGAAAGACTTTTGTTTTGTTTTGTTTTTAGGACAACTGCAAGGGAGGTGTGAATGGGCTCGGAGCAAGTAGTTGGAAATTAGATATATAGAAGTAGGGTGAAATTTTAGGAGGGGGTAGACAGAAGGAATGGGGAAAATCTAGAGCAGGAAAGGGTTAAGATAAACGGGGTACCAAAGGAAAATATCGGAAAGAGGGTGAAGGCATAAAGGATAGGTTGAGATAGAATAAAGCGTTGGAGAAGGAAAGATAGATAAAGCCTGTAGAACAGTAATCCTGAAATAAAAAAAAAAAAAAAATAAAAAAAAAAAAAAATATATATATATATATATATATATAAAATCAAATGAAATAAAAATAATAAAAATAAACAAAAAAAATAAGATGAAAAAGGTAACTTAGTAGTAGTACAATGTAGTAATTATAAAGATAAAATCAAGTGAGGAAAAAGAAAAAAAATAGTTTCTTGAGTAAATGTTGCAAATAATGAAAACAAAAATAAAAAACAAAAATTTAAAAATTTAAAAATTAATAAAATTTAAAAAATTTAAATAAAATTTGCGGTAATGAAGGTCATTCGCTTCCTCTATTGTTATGATCCAGTCCTGATTTTTAGGCAGGTTTTGCTTTGTTTTTATTACACTAGAGTCAATTTGTGAATTAGCCTCTGGGGGCAGTGTTTCTAGGTTGACTTCCCAGACTCTAGAGCCTCTCCAGCTTTTTTTTTTTTTTTTAGTCCTCTCTGAAGCAGGAACTACGGAGGGGGGAGGGGGCAGGTCCGAGCAACCTCAATCTCCCGCAACTCTCCTATACCCCTCCGCGCCAGATCCAAATGCGTTGCTCTTTAGATATCTCCCCTGTTAGGAGCCCCGTCCACTTTCACGGGTGACACCCGCCCAACAGCGGGGCTTCTACTTGTAATCGCCGCCCTTGTCCTCCAGCTTCCGCGTTCTGCGCGCAGGCTTTGTTTTCGCCGCGAGTGCGCTCCACCCTCTCCCCGCGAAATCTGACCTTTTCGCCGAGCAGTGGGGCACTCCTGTGAGGCCAGGTGTTCGCGCCGCCTGGGATCCGCGTTCTGGGGGTCACAGTTGCTTGTTGGTCGCTGCGGCTGTTGATATTCAGGCCTCTGACACGATCCTATCTTCCTCTCAAGATGGCGAGGTTTCCCTATCCAAGCCGGCAGGTAGCTCCGGGCAGGGACGCAGCCCGCGTGGGTGCTTCCCTGTGAGGGGTACCTCTGTCAGCAGCCCCCCAGCAGTTTCTTCTGGTGTTCGCTGTCTCCCAGCTTGCTAATAAACACTCACAGCTCAAGACCATCAGTTGCTCTCTCTTTCTGCTTCAGGAGAGGGCTCAGAAACCGCCCATCTATGGGTAGAGATAATTTCTTTGAGTTTTGAATCCTCCACCAAATAGAATGACCTGTCTTACTTCTTGAGTCTTTAATCATTTTAATAAGTTCCAGGAGTTACTGCCCCAGCTCCTTTCTTTGTCCAGGCCCAGGTGGCTTCTCCAGTGAATCCCTATTCTTCTGCACTGGAATCTAAGACCCCTTTGGTGGTTAGCCTCTGAAGGATGCACTTTGAGGCTATTGGAAGCAAGATAAAGTCCCCTCTCTCCCTTTAATCACATTTCCCACCTTTGCCTCCACAGATTAAAAAAAAAAAAAAAGTGTTCACAGAACCTTAAGATGTTTGAACATAGAGAGCTGGGTTTGTCCTGTATTTATAATCTACCACTTAGATATAAAAAGGCTGTTCCAATACAGTGACCTTTTAATTAATCTCACATGAAGTTTTATTGTTGTCTGTGACGTTACCATTACCATTTAATTCTCATGTGTTTTCCACCCACTTTATATAAGCCAGCGAAGGAGTGAATAGAGTAACATGTGATGCCAACAGAAATCCAACTAGAGAATATAGTCATTGCACAGCATAACCCTGACCCAGCTCAGCAGGCCATGTTTTCTGAGCCTCAGTTGAAAAGGCAGCCTCCGGCCTGGGATTGATTACAGACAGGAAGTGCTGAGAGCATTACAGCCGATTATATTGGTAGCAGCATTTGTTCATAGCTCTGTAACTGTGAAAGGAGATTACTTTCACCTATGTGCCACAACAGAGATGTGTGTGTCTTGCAGACAGGAAGAGGAGCTGGAAGTATAATTGATTGAACTAGTGTTTTATTCTTTATTCCTTTTGTATAAATGGAATCCCTGATGAGGTCTCATTAACAGACCCTGAGGTTGCGGAGAACAAACATGACATCTTGTTTACCCCTGGATTCTCATGCCTGATACTTGAGAGTTTTTTGAATACATAGGTTGCAAAAAAAAAAAAAAAAAAAAAAGAACGATATTAAATGTATATATTTTTATTTACAGCTGCTGCCGAAGGAAAAGGCAAAAGTGGGGAAGACTTTTTCCAAAAGGTAAGTTGCTTTTTACTCCTGCCTTGGTGATAATGGAGGAGAAATATACCCAAACCTATTTCAATATACCTATTTCAATAGAAACCCCTGAATGTTCATTCCCCTTCCATGTGAAAGGGAATAGGTTATTTCTTGACAAGATAGCTAGAGATCCTTATGGCTGGGCAAGGGTGGGATACTATGTGTCACTTAACGGTTCTAAAAGGGCTCCTTCTGGGCCAATCTAATGAAGTTTTTACTTGGAGACAAGGAAAGCTGCTAGCTTTCCTCCTTTCTGGTAAGCATGACTATGGGTGGGATGTACCTTTAGACCTACTTGCCATGTCACTTCTGTCCCAGGGTGTCCTCTAAAAGTACTGGTCTTCAGTGAAGACAGTCTGCCTTCACACATAGCAAACGGAAATAGAAGTGAGAAACTGTCAAGAGCAGTTGACTAATTCTGAATCAGCTCTGTTTCTTAGAGTACTGTTTTGTATAAGGGAAGATGCCTATTGTTTTAAAGAAATTGATTCTAGTTTCTTTTTTTTTTTTTAACTTATTTGGCTTTATTGTGTTTGTGTCTTTGCTGTTGGGATCTAGAAAGTGTGTGTAGGAACAAACATGTAGGGTACCTTAGGGCAGTGGTCAGCAAACTGTGGCTTGTGAGCCACATGTGGCTCTTTGGCCCCTTAAGTGTGACTCTTCCACAAAATATCATGGCCTGGGCGAGTCCATTTTGAAGAAGTGGCGTTAAAAGAAGTTTGTTTAAAAAATTGGGCTCTCAAAAAATAAATTTCAATCGTTGTACTGATGATATTTGGCTTTGTTGACGAGTGAGTTTGCTGACCACTGCCTAAGGGGAAGGGAAGAGGGAAAATATAGCAGCAGCTATAGATGAGATTAAATACTGCTGCAGAGGGTCATCCAGCCTTTGGAAAACACCTCTGTGTAATTAGACGTGGCCTTTACAAGGCTCTTGATTCTCTCCCTTTCTGTGTGATCTACTTTATTTTTTTGGTCAACTTCATTATTCATCTGCAATCTCTGCCAAGAGTATTAAAAGCAAATATTTTCAGAGCTGATGCCTATATTGCCATTTCTTCATTCTGAAAGTATTTATTTACCACCTGCTGTGTGCTACACACTGGAGAGACCAACATGAGTAAGGCATCATCCCTGCCCTAAAGGAATTAGTCTGGTGTCTGGTGATATCGTCACAGAAATAGCAGGAGAGTCTGGGGCCATGGAGGATTAAGCACTTAACTGGGACTTTAGGAGATTAGGAAGGAAGGACTTCTTGAGGTCTTCAGAAGAATGGACGCTAGCCATGTGAAGAGGTAAGCTTGGGTGGGTTGGAAGACATTCTAGGCAAAGACCCAGAATGTAGGAAGGCTTAGAGATGGAAGAATTTATGTGGCGTGCATACACCAAACATTTGTTCGGCACACAACATATGAGGGATTCATAGTGCAAGGTGAGCTACAATATTCTGTATGATGAAATACCTTCTTTTAAGGTGGGAGGTGGGGGCATTATCCTAAAGGAATTAAAAAAAAATTAAAAATGCTGTGTGGGCCATATAGAATGTGCCAGACCACAGTTTTTCATCTCTGTTTGGGATCAGGCTGTTGAAGTTTTATGTGCTATGCCCAAAGCCTTTGACTTGGCAGTATCTGACCTTGGTTAATATGCAACTTGTCCTTAATACCTGGGCATTTCAGAATGCCCGGCCTTCCTCTAGGGCAGGCTTGCCACAAGCAAAGAAAACAGAGGACAGAGCAAAAATCTCAGCTCTGTCTTGGGTTGGCTGTGATGGGACAAATAGATGATATCTGTGGAAGGAATTCTCCCCCCCCCCCATTGTTCTTTAACTTACAGATAAATGTAGAAAGCAGACGGTTCAGCTTTGTATGACTCAGACATTTTAAAAGCTGAATAAAAACACAGCATATGTGGTCATAAAGGACCTTCATTCTTAGAAGATTTGTTAATATTTATCACTCTTTGTGGAGCCCTATATACATTCCAACAGTTTAAATAGAAACACATGCTCGAATCCAGGAACATGTGTGCATCCCACAAACTGTGAGTTGGAATTGTAGATCCTGTTCTTGGTTACAGGTTAATGAGGTTCGTGAATAACTAAATGTGAATAGTTTTAATTTCATTTTCTCCTTTAATTCATTAGATAGAAAGTGTCTTCAGATAGACAAGTGTCGATATAGGATTTGGATACTTAACTCTGGAAAAAACCCGTAACTTACTAAAAGGCAAACATCCCAAGTTCCAGGAGAGTAATTTTCTGTTTTGACCAGACAGAAATAGAGATTATGGTTCATCGGCAGTAGAATGAAGTAATGGAGAAGGATTGGATTGTCCTCTGGGAACTTCTCCTAGTCACACATATTCCAGTTTCATGTAATGACATTTGGGGAAACATTTAAGAACGAGAAATAGGCCATATTGCTGATCATTAGCATCTTTGAAAAATACTTTTCTTCTTCTGGAGTAATGCACTTCAGATGCTCTGTGTGCTTATTAGAACGTGTTTTGGCTTTGACTCCAGGTGGGTATCACAAACCAAAGTTAAAATCTCTCTTGAGCTGAATTTAAAGTTTGACTACCTTATTATTTAAAAAAAACATCTAAGTCTGGAGGGATACCTTCCCAGCTTTAAACTGGTTCTCCCTAAAGAGAGGATTGGAGGAGGAGTGTGAAACTTTTTCTGTGTTATGTTGGTATTTTGTACCTTTAAAATATATGTAAACCATAGCAATATTATTAACCCAAGTTAATCAGTCTCCCTGACAAATTTTGAAATTCAGAAAATGAAAGAAGCCCTGGCTGGTGTGCTCAGTTGGTTGGGTGTTGTCATCCCATGCACCAAAAGATTGCTGGTTTGATTCCTGGTCAGGGCACATGCCCAGGTTGCAGGCTGGATCCCAGGGAGGGGGCATGCAGGAGGCAGCCAATGTTTCGCTTCTCACTTCGATGTTTTTCTGTCTCTCTCCCTCTCCCTTCCTCTGTCTCTTAAAAAAAAAATCAATTAAAAAATTAAAAATATATTTAAGAATAAAAATTGATAGATTTCCCAAAGGGTTTAAATTGTAATTTAACAACTACTAAGATCATGAAATACATCATCTCAAATTTGAAGCTGTAATAGTAGTTCCGTTTACTATATGTACACACAAACTTTTCCCATTCAGCCATAGTTCATATTTCAGAGATCTACCTGGTTTTCTGTATATTGCTTTATTGCATGTGTTTGAAACAGTTTGGTTCCCCTGACACTCTGTTAGGGCAAAAGACTAACCTGTCATAGCAGAGAAACCCAATAATAGAGTGGTTTAAGGAACAGAGTTATTTTACTTTCACGTAACATTCTGAGGTGAGCATCCCCATCCTGTCAGTTAGAGACCCAGATTCCTTCTGCAAAGTAGCTCTTCTGCTCCTCACGCTGTGAACCTCATCAGTATGGTTGAAGGTGGGTCACCATGTCCAAATCTTTTTTTATTTTTTTAATATATTTTATTGATTTTGTACAGAGAGGAAGGGAGAGAGATAGAGAGTTAGAAACATTGATGAGAGAGAGTCATCGACCAGCTGCCTCTTGCACACCCCCCACTGGGGATATGCCCGCAACCAAGGTACATGCCCTTGACCGGAATCGAACCCAGGTCCTTCAGTCCCCAAGCCGACGCTCCATCCATTGAGCCAAACCGGTTTTGGCGACCATGTCCAAATCTTAAGGGCCAGGCCCGAATGTGCCATATGCCACTTTTTCTTACATTCCCTTGGAGAAAATTGATTGACATGGCCTTGTATAGCTACAGTAATGGGTGGGAAGAAGGGGGGAGAAACATATGGAGGATATATTGATTTTGCAAAGCACTATTCAGCAAGAGAGATTGTTAGGAAAAATGTATGTGGTCACTTTTATGTCTCACAGCTATGCTTTGAAACCTTTTATGTTACTTTGTTAGGACGGCTGTAAAAATGTTCAGCAACCTGGGTGGCTTAACCAGCAAAAATCTGTTGTGTTGCCTAACAGTTCCGGAGGCTAGAAGTCCAAGATCAGGGGAGTCAGTGGGGTTAGTTCCGTCTGAAGGCCGTGAGGGAGGGTGTTCCTCACCTCCCTCTGAGCCTCTGGAGATATGCTTGCCGTCTTTGACATTTCTTGGCTTGTAGAAATATCATCCTGCTCTCTGCCTTCATCTCCATATGGAGTTTTCTCTGTGTGTATCTCTCTGTGCCCAACTTTGCTCTTTTTATAAGGACGAGGGTCATATTGGATTAGGGTTCACCCTAACAAAATCACATCTGCATGACCCTATTACAAACAAGGTCACATTCCGAAACAGTTAGGATTTCAACACATGAATTTTGGGGTGACACAATTCAACCTATAACACCTTTTAATGAAGGAAATGATTTTGTAGTAAAAGGTACTATAACCTGAAAAATTTGCTAAAATTATAAATGTTATTTACAATATTTTAATACTTAGTCTGATGTGTAGATTTTAACTGCCTAAGCATTTTTATTAAATCTGTTTTTTTTTCTTATTACCAGTCATTTCTAAACTGGGTAGAATGTAATTGATGTATAAGAAAGTGAAAAACATTTAATTTGTCTTTTGAAAAACAATTACTGTTTATACAACCTTAGTTCTTCTTTATGTTTATATTAAAAATTAGAGGTCTGGTGCACAAAATTTGTACACGTGTGTGTGTGTGTGTGTGTGTGTGTGTGTGTGTGTGTATGTGTGGGGTCCCTTAGCCCGGCTTGCACCCTCTCGCAGTCTGGGAGCCCCCTTCCCCTAATTGATTGCCCCGCCGGCTGGTGGCTTGGACCTCCCTCTGCAGAGTGATAATCTTGGAGCAATGGTGGGACCCTCATCCAATTGCATAGCACCTGCCTTGGCTGGCCTGGTGCCAATGGGTGTCAATAGTGTGGTCGTCTAGATAGTAGTTCCACTGTTCGGCCATTTAGTCAGTTTGCATATTATGCTTTTATTA